TTATCGTAATTAGAGGGTAAAAATCTACCTCTCAACATCTATTTTATTTTTTCTCAAGTTTTAATAAGTTTTATGTCCTCTCGCCTCCTAGCCTTTAAAAACCTATCACACCAAACTAAGGCCACATGCTTCAATTTAAACTCTATATTTTTTTAAACTCTATATTTTTTTTTATTTTCGAATGTGAAATTCTTGTATACTTGTATAAATGATTAAATTTAGCTAACTAATTAAAAGACTCTTCCACTTTTGAATTACCACTAAAAGAATAAATCTTAACCTTTAAATGATATTTTTTATTATATTTCAAATAACCATACCTCAATCTTCTTTATCAAATGAATATGCATAGTCATATTAACCATAGGGATTTGCACAAATTGGTTCAAAGATAAGTGCCACTTGTGTCATTCTCGACGTGTGCCTCTTTTCTTCCCGGTTCATGTTTGCATGCAACTCTAGTATCTAGGGTAGTGGCTCAACGGCTGTTGGGACTGCTTGCCTTCTTTCGAGCCTAGGTTCGAATCCTAGTGGGAGTGGGGTTGGCAAGTTGTTCCCTTCATGTTTCTACTGGGTCCTCTCTGTGCGGTATGTCTGTCATCCCCGCGGTGCCTTACCTATTCACTGGGCTTGCAGGATGTTCAGTGAACCGTGGGATTAGTTGTGGTGCGCGCAAACTGGCCCGGACACCCACGCTAATAAAAAAAAAAAAACTTAAATGTAAGGCTATCAAATCTAGAGTTGATGTTGCCAAACTCGATTTGCATTTTATCTTCTAAAGTTGTTATCATTACTGAATAACAATCTAACTAATTTTAAATAGCTTGTGTTTCCTAATTATTATCACAAAGTTGGATGTCACCAAGTGTCTCATGATTCTATTCATTATTCGTCATTAGTTTGGATATTAATCTATTATGATATCATTTAATGCAACATATAATGAAAATAAAAATAAGGTTGTCAAACCTTTAAATCACATATCTAAGTATAGAGAAATTTAGAGAAAATTCATTAATAATTTTATTAAATTTAAATAATAATCTAAATATTTTTTTAAAAAAAACTAGACATCCTCTATTTATTATAAATAGTTTAAATTTTGTATAGGAAAGGATTTTTAACTAAAACCTTCATAAGCAGTAAAATTCATTTGATTTCTAAATAATAAAATATTAATTAAATTAAAAATTTTAAATTAAGCAAGGAAAAAGATAATTTAAGATTAATTAAAAAAATAATTAAAAAAAAACTATAACTTCAGCTTTCATATCAAATCCTTTTAGATTTCTTCACGGATTTCTTTTGGGTATGGTCTTGTCGATCTTCCTGTTTATGTTGTCACATATAATTGTTTTTCTTTGCAAAGAGCCAAGGACAATCTTAGAGATTTCTGTTGACATTTATTTTAGACAGCTGTAAAGGAGAAGTGACAGTTGATGACTTGATGCTAACAACTTGGAAGATGAGATACAGAGTATATATAAAGGGAGGATGGTATTAGAGGATTCTATCAATGTTCTACGATGTGATGTCTCTGTTGTAACTTAAATAACAATTACTGTTTCAAGAAATAAGAAATGGTCTTTAAGGGTTTATTTAGCAGAGATGGAGGCTGAAGACATAGTGAATGTACCACTGTGATGATTGTACAGATGAATATCTGAAAAAAATGGAAGGACAGTAAGTCTGAATGGATGAAGAACGTTGATGCAAGGTTTAAGAACTGGTGTAAGTCAGCAATCCACCAAAAATGCAAACGGACAAAAAAAAGAGGAGGAAAAATGTTGTGGCTCTCAAGATAATGGACAGCAAATAGAGGAATAAATAGCTCGGTGTTTTGGCATTTCTGAATATTAGGCTGTGAAGGTGTTAGAATGATCAGTAGCTTGTACATCAAACCTCTATGTTTCATTGCCATTTCTTTTAAGTTTTTGCCTTGTGCTTCTGGTATAATTGGAAGATGTATATGCTTCTTTGAACATCCATCCTTTTACTCTATCTGCAGATTTCCTTCTATTTTTTCTTCATGGAAGCTCCTTTTCTACTGCGCTGTTGTGGCTTTTCTTCTGCTAATAAACCATTTAAGGAGGCCAGTGGAAGAAGAATCTGCTGTAAATGATGACAGAACCTTTACTCCCCATTTGACTTTGCCAGGACTGCAGAGTGATGCTTGAACATTGAAGAGAAGGTATGGCTGTCCTCGCTTTGCTGAATAGAATGCTGGCGCTTGATTCAGGTAAATCTAATATACATGTAGGTTCTTAACTTCTTTGAGCTCCGCTTCGGATATGGTGAGAATTTCGAGCTCAATGGATATCAAAGACTCAAGCATGGTGGAAAATCGCACTAGTGGGGTTATTTGAGTGAAACATATAATGGAGAGTGGAGAGATGTGTTGCTAAAAGTTGCAATGCTGTAATTTCTGCAATTTACTGTTCTTTCACATTTTCTGATCTTACGATCAGGATGCTAGACAGCACTTTGTTACCGTCATCGGCCGCATATTTACCTGTATACCGATCCTATTCCTTCAAGATTTTTCATACTGTAGAATGTGTTTCAAAAGTTATTTTGGCTAATTTATACACATGAACTCATCTTCTCACCAGAACTAGTAATCGACATTTTGAAGCGTCCAAAGGTTGCCTTCATATAATGTTCTCCCCTTTGTGCGCTTCTCATTAAAGCATTTTTTAACTTCAAAATGTAACCATGTGGGGAGCTTCCATCCCAGTGTTTTCTGTCCTTTAGAAATAATAATTACTACTAAATTTGATTTTACTATATTGTTTCTTTGACTGAATCCATACTGCAGTCATGTTATTACCCTCGAGTCTAACTAGTCGGATCCATTTATCAATTACCAGCATCTTGGCTTTAGAATGAGAACAGATTGGGACATGACGGGCAAGATAACAGATCTCCTGTTGGGTAGTTTTACATCTAGATATCACCAGTTGGCCAAAACAAGCATGGAGAAGATAATACCAATTTAAAGGCCATCTTATCTGTCAATCAGTGTAAAGATCTGCCATTAAAGTGGGGATTAGCATAATGAAGCCTTTCGCTGCGTAACAAATTTAGTTGACGCCACCTGGTAATTACTCTGCTTCCATGTGTCATTTAAATTTGTTTTATCTGAGGTAAAAAAACACAGATTTATGGCCATTATGTTTAGAGTATTTGCTATAATAAACTAAAAACGTTGGAAAATCACAGTGATTATCAGAACAAGGGAGATTAATAAAGACAATTTGGTTAATAAATAAATGTATGCTAATCTAAAAGGTTGATGTATACCTTGCAATACACAGCCTCTTATAACAGCAAAAAGCACACCATAAATAGTGGTGCTTTCTTTTCCACTGTGCGCAAAAGATGGCCGCCTTGCTCACAATGAGTCACATGCGGATGGAAGTATTTTGCACATATAACTGAGATTCATCGTTAACACACGAATGATCATGTGCACTCAACACAGAAAAAGAAAAAAACATGGTAATACATATACATCTAACTCAGAGATTTAGGATTTAAGCCTCTCGCTGTGTAGCTAGTCAAGCTCAGAGTTAATTGCCCTCAAATGCCAGTACCATGTATGGCCCTGTCAGTAAAAAGGCAAGAACATAACCGAGCAACACACACACACACACACACAGAGGAGGAGGAGACTTCCTACTAAAGAAACAGGATGTTAAAGACCAGGAAGGAAGGAAATCTACAGCAGACATAACAGGATGAGAAGAGAGGCTATGGAGAAGAGGGCCTTAGCGAGCTTTTATACAGAGGTTCTGAGCTCTTCAAGGGCAAACCCTGGTGCAAGGTTTTCGGGCAACGGGCAGATTAAAACCTAGGAGGTACGTGTTGGGGCAGGGCGGTAGCTCTAGGTCTTGTGTTAAAGAAGTATTAATTTCATGCAAGTTGTCGTTGTGGTTATCTCCTGCTGTGCAACTTGCAAGCAACAAGTGGGGGAGTTGCTGGACTTGCAGCAGGATAGCATGCGTGCATGACGGAGAGCTGGACAATAAAGAAAAATAGATCTCAAGGATTTGACGTGGCTTTATTGTTTTCGGACATGAATTTAGGATCAATATTTTGAGAATTTCATTATATTCTTTTTTTTATATACCCTGGATTGTTATATATATATATATATAGTATCGTTTGAAAATATATTTAATCTTAATTAATATACAGGTTCCTTCATGTATATTATTATCGTCGAGAAAATAAAGATAAATTAAATTAAAATCTCTATTTGTATGCGTAAATGCATACCATGGATTACTCTCCTACCATGATTCATGATGTTGGTTTGGATTTCAATAGTTAAAATCTTCATTTTCAGAATTAACTGGTGGTTAGATTTTTTGTTCTTTTTAAAAAATAATCGGTAGTTATTTTTTATATAGAGAAACTCAAGTTATTAATTTTATGATTAATAAATTTAAATTTTGCTAAATTGATGCATCATATTACTATTAATTTTGAGTAAACATAGATCAGTCAAATGTGGTGTTTGTGATAGTAATAATGGTAATTTTTTAAAGTATTTTTATTTAAAAATATATTAAAATAATAATTTTAATTTATTTTTAATATTAACATATTAAAACAATCTAAATATTTTTTTTTTTTAAATAAAATTTCATAAAGTTCTTAGGGGTCTTGGGTTTGCCTATTAATGATGATTAATTCAAATTCTCTTAGCATCATTAGGATATTATACGATGATTAATTTTAGAATTTATAAAATTTATCAAACTGTGGTTGTCCCTCTGCTTGCCCCAAAAGAGCTAGAAAAAACTTGTGTGGTCCTTTGCTTTCAATTAAACGAGATGAATGATAAGATTTGTAAATTCACAACACATCGATTTATGGAGGTTGATAAATAAGTTATGAAAAATACAAATAAATACATTAAATTAACCACCCTCCTGCGACCTCATTCAACCGACATTCCCACTCTTTCGAAAAAACATTAAACTTCAGATGAGATGGATTTTACTAGCATTCATTTTTTTCGTGACAGTGGGCTTCAAAAACATGGTTATGAAAGCTACTGAATTGGATAAAGATGTTGGGGATGGAGTGCAAGGGAACAACTGCCTTAGAGGCCAACTAGCTCAGCATCAGAAGTCTGTGAACCATTCCAGAAGACAAGAATCTAAAGAAAATAAAAGCTCAAATGCCTTAAGTAGTGGTCAAAGTAATTCAAATGTAATAGAGCAGGGGCGATCCCCAGTAGATGAAAGTGGCATTGATTCGGAATTTATAAAATTTCCAGCTCCACCTTGTCGTCAATTTTGGAAAGCTGGGGACTATGATGATGGCCCCAGTTCCAAGCTCACACTTCAAAGTATGCAGCTATCAATTCTTAATTATAATTTCATGATCTTCCCTGCTCGCTGAAAAGCAACTCTACTTATTATGCATTCTATTATAGATTTTCTGGTGCTACCTTCCTCCTTTTTCCTTATAAATTGGATGATAAAACCTTGTATGATTTGTCGAAGTATCTATTGTCCATGCTCTGTTCATACTTGATCAGCCATGCTCTGATTTTTTTAATCCTTTTCTTTTTGGGATTTCAGATGGGAAAAATTATCTCCATGTCCACCCGATCTTTCTTCATTCAAATGCCACTTCACATAAGTGGGTTTTTGGTGGTATGCCCAGCTTATACAGAGTTCTATTCCATTTGCATTTTGTTAATGATAAATTTAATTGAGTACAGTGCTTTTCTTGTTTGCAGCCATAGCAGAACTGGTTGACAATGCAGTTGATGAGGTGATTTATAATGGAATTTTTTTTAAGTAATCAATTTTCCTTTTATCTGGCATGTAGGAGCCTGATTATCAGGCATTGTACTGTTGCAAAGCTTGAGTGTATAGAATTTTTGAGATCAAAATGGGCCTGTTTGCCTATATATTTTTGACATGCCAAACTGACACTACTTCTTTATTCCTGATGGACAAAACAATTTACAAAACTGGCCAAGATCAATGAGATAATCTGCATATCAGGGGACTGGTGGGACACCAGTCCAGGTGATCTCCTAAAACTGGAGGTCATAAAACTTTCTTGTTTTTTGATAATATAGTACGCTACACTTTTTTTTTCCCCTTATAATTATTTCAAATGCAACCAGAGATTAGATCCCCTATTCCCACAAAAACACATTCACCATGACAATGAAGCTAGCAACAAGCAATCTGAACAACTGCTCAATTTATAGTGGATATGAAACCAATATTTACAGAACTTAATACATCACATGTAAATTTTTTTATTTCTTCTACATGGTTTACTTAAACTTCTAATTTAAAAGGACCTCATATTTATTATTCAATGTGTGATTATATGTAACCTGAATTTAATCATTATTTTATACATGTACGTCCAAATATTTATTTTAAATATATGAATTGGTGTGATGTCATGGCTTTACCCTGTCACCTAGTTTCTTATCTAAATCAATGAACGGGCCTTCTTAAGGCATCTAGCATTTTAATTTGACAATTTGAATCTCAATATATGTTTTTTTTTTCTTTCTTCTTTATGAAGTATAGCTTCTATCACATTAACAGCCTTTCTTATGTCTATTTCTCTCTAATATATACTAATGTTGCTGGTCTTTCAATGTTTTGGGATGTTTTGCACCATTTAGTTCTGGCTATCATTTTGCTACATCTTCAAGCTTCAAATTTTACTTTTCATTCCCTTTCCCTTTTTTACTTTATAGATCCAAAATGGGGCCTCTTTTGTCATTGTAGATAAAATCTCAAATCCAAGAGATGGAAGTCCTGCACTGTTAATTCAAGGTGCTTGAACTTATCAATCATAAAGAATTGTTCTTAATGTTGTCTTGTAGTCTGTTGTAATACATCTTAAAAGGAATGAATACTGCCTGACATTGGTTTTGTAAAACTTGTACTCTGACTAGATGATGGTGGTGGAATGGATCCCGAAGCAATCCGGCGATGCATGAGCTTTGGGTTTTCAGATAAAAAATCCAAATCAGCAATTGGACAATGTACGCAACTTGTGTATCCACAAAGAAAATTCTATAATAATTTTATCTCACAGTTGTTGCTTGAATGGTCTTTCAGATGGTAATGGCTTCAAGACCAGCACTATGAGACTTGGGGCAGATGCTATTGTCTTCAGCCGCCATGCAGATGATAGGTATAAGTGTGATTCTGTAGTTTTCTACCGACTTGCTCATTTGATATTAAATGTTTACAACTGTCATGCAAAGCAAGTGAAGTGATTGTCATGGGTGGCCATACGATATATATGGTCTTATGGCAAACAAACCAGCTCCATTACTCTCAAGTTTGTTTATTAATTCTATAAATCTCTAACCCATGCCCTCTATTCTCCCTCCATTTCAATTGTTTTTTCCCTTGTTTTGATGGTTGGTTCGCTGAACTGTTGAAATGGTCATTACATGCCAGCCAAAATAGGCATGCTTTGATTCCCTAAATGAACAAACTTCAGTTCAAGGGAAAAAAAAGATAAAGATTGACGTTTTTTTTAGTTATGTTCTAATGTGATATGTATTGTAGTTGCAAATTCTAGCTTGTTTCCTTATCAGTTTATATAATGAGCAGGGTATTGACTCAAAGCATTGGTCTCCTCTCTTTCACATTTTTGACACAAACAGGACATGACAGAATAGTAGTGCCAATGGTGGGTTTGACTTCCCTACAAAAATATGTTAGTCAAAGTTCTTTCTGAATCTAGCCTATTTAATTTTGGCAGTGTTCTGCAAAAGTTAACAATTATAAATTCATACACATCATTCCTACATCGTATCTAGCATGTGGTACCTCATGCATCCAAAAACAGCTTGAAGCTGAGGTTTGGCCCTTTTCTTTTGAATCGTTGCTTTATTTGATTATGCTAAATTACCATGTGAAGTGATGAGAAGACCACAGGAAAAACTAAAGAGGGTTTAAAGAGATGAGGTTATAGGTTTGCACATGTTAGGATACTGGGCTTGTGACAGTGACGGATACTAGCAAACTGTATGTTTTAAATCTTGTTAATGAATATCTGAATTAGTTGTCGACTTTTTGGTCTCGTGGATGGGTAAACAGCTGCATCGGGATTTACTCACTTTTTCCATTTTTGTTATTCTGGAGCCCATTTCAAGAGCTTGTCCTTATGCAGGTGGATTATGAGCTTAACACAGCTGGTAATTTGGAAATTCTAGATCGATATGGGAAAGAATACTTTATGTCTAACCTTTCCTTGCTGTTGCAATGGTCTCCATATTCAACAGAAGCAGAGCTACTGAAACAAGTAAGCACCTTTTGATATGTTCTCCCTAGTGCTATCATTCTTTGCATTTTATGTTGCTCCTCATTCAGATATTTATCGAACATGGATAGGTTTCGACAAGTTAATCTAGTTAATTAAGAGTAGTGCTCTTCTCATTTAATAATTAATTCTCATTGGCCTCTTTTACTCCCGTACAAGTGTTTGAGCAATTTAACATGTGCAGACATATATGCACGAAAAATACAACTGCTACTCCCCCCCTGAGATTATGGTTGCCTTTCATTAGAGTTGGATTTCTTAAAAGATGTTATATGCTTTAAATGATCGTACATGTTAAACTGTTTTGTGAAATGATGTATTCCATTTTCAAGAGATATTACACTAATATTTTGGAAAGAACATGATGATCAGATAAGATTATAGGTATAAGTTTACTGTGGTTGATGGCGAATTGTAGGATTATGGATTGATGTGAGTGGATTAGACACTCATTTTCAGCTGTCAATGTGGTAAAATTGGAATCTACAAACTTTTCACTTAGCTATTGGAGTGAGATTGCGTGGTAGAACTAGTAGTAAAATAGATATTGAGAAGGAAGGATTAAGATGAAACAGAAGAATGAGGAAAAAAATCCTATGTACAAGCAATACCATTTAATCTTATCAAAAAGATTGGTGGGACTTTGTATTTTTAATGAGTGAGGACTAAATGGAAAATTTCCTGGCTAGACTATAATTCTTGAAAAGAATAACATTGGTAAATGCTCTGTTGATCACCTAATTATTCCTCTCATCGAAGCTCATTTCCCTATGCATCTAATTTGGTTGCAGTTTGAAGACATTGGATTGCATGGTACTAAAGTGATTGTTTATAATTTGTGGTTCAATGATGATGGGAATGTGGAGCTAGACTTCGATACAGATCCTGAGGTTGAAACTTCTTTCTGTCTCTTCATGCTTGCCTTGTCTTTTGATTCTTTGTTATATGTTGACAATCTGTCCTTGGGACAGATATTTAGCAAAGGCTGTCTCTGTTTGATTTCGAAATCTTTTTCATTTCCCTCTTCAACAGGAAATAAAAATCTTTGTTATATGCCACTATCATTCTCAATTAGGTGCTTTCTTGTGGAATGGGGTTGCAGGATATTCGTATTAATGGGGATATAAAAGAAGTGCAGACACGCCCTGCTTGGAGGACAGTAAATGAAGAACACATTTCCAACCGACTACGATATTCTTTGAGGGTAAGTGCTTTTTTTTCCCTCTCTTCATGTAAGTTCATATTATTTTCATATTCTAGCCTGTGCAATTTTTTCATGACAAGTCTCCTTGTCTAAGTTAATCATAGAGACATAATAGCTCACTCATACTGGCTCATCTAAGAATTATAAGAATTTAAATCTTGCTGATGCTGGTATCTTATGCGCCACAGGCTTATTTATCCATTTTATACCTGCGAATACCTGAAAATTTCACAATAGTATTGCGAGGGAAATTTGTCAAGCATCACAATCTTGCCCTTGATCTCAAATTTCAAGAATTTATCGTATATAGACCCCAAAGCAGTGGATGTATAAAGGTATTGCTTCGTGTGCACTCTCCAAAATATACTGAGTTACTTGGTGTCTTCTTTTGCAAGTGGCACCTGATTTTAATTACCTGAATACATTAATGTTATTCTCTGTAGCAAGAACTCCTATTCACCTTTATTGTTATTATGAGGTTTAAAAACTGTATGTTCAACTGATAGGGTGTATAAAGCGAACTCGGTTTATTGATGGTATTATTAAACAGTGCAACTGCCATCTTTGAGCTCTAGCGTGTCCAAGTGATGCTTATGTTGTGAAATAGACATGATTCTTTATGTAATTACACTTATCCTCTTCTTGTTTAATAATTCAGGGTGAATTGTTAACAACCATTGGGTTTTTAAAAGAAGCTCCACAAGTTACCGTTCATGGTTTTAACATCTACCACAAGAACCGTCTTATACTAGTGAGTATCCACAAATTAATTTAATTAGTCTTACCTCTGCATTATTAGATAATTGAAAGGACCATTGACCAACTGATTCTTTTTTGATCCAGTCCTCCAGTCCTCTGTGTGCAGTTTTTATGAATGCTGTAATTGCTAACCCTGTTAGATTTGGTTGATGTCATATTTGGGAGTGTAGTTGGAGTGTATATACATTATATGCTGTTAGTAACTGTTGATAGATCTGCTAGATATGGCATTTTTATGTCTAACAGTGAAATTTGCCTTTTTATGGAGTACAAGGTGTGTACGATGTGCTTCCGCCTGACATGGGAAGAGAAGGATGTGCAAGCATATATGCTCATGTGCATGTGTACTATTTATGATTTGAGCTGTTAGGGAGCAAAACCTTAACAGATTGGTTTGAATTGCCCGCCTCTCATTGAGATTAGCCTTTCATTTATATAGGGAAAATTGTCTTGTACACAGTAATTACAAAGAGTAATTCTAGGGAGTTATATATGTTAAGCTAGATCTAGGGAGCTATCTATGGTAAGAGAAATTTCCTATATGGTATTTACAGCCTGCTTGAATTCAGCCTTTCTATTCACCTTTATACTGCTTGATTTTAGCTTTCTATTGACAAACCTGCCACCAGTAGGTATTGCACGTGCAAATTTATATGGTAGAAACATCATTGTTCTGGGGTTTGAATAATTTGAGGTGATGCAATCAGTTGAATTATGTCATGCATTTTAGTAGAGTAACTAGTTTTACAAAAGCAGAATGTTGCAACACCGGAACACCAGAAGATGATGAGAAGTGGATGCTCCATGGAACCCAGTTCCAAAAAAGAAGATCATTCCATGGAACTCGTCCCAAGAGAAATGGCAAGGATAACAGGCAAAGCCATACCACTGGTCATACTTAGTATTACGTACAAGAACAATTAGATTGTTTGCCTTTACATGAAAATTTTGAATGAAGCAATAGACTATTTCTCTAATTTGGTATCTGAGTAAAATAAAAGGTTTGCAGCAGCCATTCTATCTGTACCCCATCCCCTCCCCTCGTCACCAAAAAAAAAAAACAAATGATGCCCTTTTTATTGTTGAATTCAAATGCAAACGTCTAAAATCTGTTTTCTTTCTCTTCATCGCAGCCATTTTGGTCCATTGTGAACTATGGAAATAACAGTAGAAGTAGAGGAGTGGTTGGTGAGAAGCTGCTAAAACTTTTTTGTTTTTACCTGCTATGGCATTGATGTAAATTTTGGTCACAATTATAATAAATGCTTGACTGTATTCTAGTAATGTTTCCTTAGGTGTTCTGGAAGCAAATTTTGTTGAGCCCACTCATGACAAACAAGATTTTGAGAGAACTTCCTTGTTTCAGAAGCTTGAAGTGCGGTTGAAGGAGATGACATGGGAGTACTGGTAAACTTTTCAATTTCCACACAAATAATTCTATTTTCTAAACTTGGCTATTTTCATTCTTGCTCTCTTTTGGGGCTCTTGACTTGTTCCCTCTAATTTATTTATTTCATAGACCTCTACAACTATAAGGTCATTGAGCAAACGTCAAGTGTACCTTCCATCAATGATCATGTTTCAATTTCATCCCCATACGAATTCAACAAAATTACCTTCCACCTATCCCAATTGTTACAATTTGTTCCCTTTATTGGAACATGTTCAATTACCATGGCAAACTACATCTGCCAAGTACATGTTGTGCTTCCCGCCAACATAATTGCCAAATACACAATTCCAATTCCATTTAGCCCCAAAATCATTGTCCTAAGGTGTACCCTTTATAATCCAACTTCTCTGTTAAACAAAATTGTCTTTAAAAGTTTGCTTCCATGGAGAGACTTAATTATAAAGGTTCAAACGGTGAAACAATTTGGAGAAAATCTCCTTGTGAAGTTGGATTTCGAAGGTCAAATGGATTATAAAAGGAAAACTTTAGGGCAGTACTTTTTTATTCTAAAAGGAATTGAGTTTGTGTATCTGGTGGGTTGTGCTGGAAAAAAGTGATGCATGGTTTAAATAACTCAACTCGGTAGTTTAATAGTGTTCTTACAGAGGAAACAAACTGGCACAATTTGGGGGGTGCTGGAACCTGAGCAATTGGTGGAGGGTATATTTGAGGTTTGCCCAAGGTTTTTTTAGGTCTACTCACTCAATAAAATGATTAATGCACAATCTCAAACTGCCTTTGTTGTTAAATCTGCTTACCTGAATATATGGCAGCTACTAATATAAGTTTTATGTGTTTGTCCATATATATGATAACTATATGATGCAAATTATTTAATTTCAACAGGGATTATCATTGCGGTCTAATTGGTTACCAGGTCACAAAAAAGCTTCGACCAACCGAGCCTCCACCAGATTCACCTGTTGGCATCTCAACTGGTAGTGACACATTGAATCATGGTATGCCAAATGGTGCTAAAACAAATCTCGCATTGAATCAAAACTACCCCTATCTTGTTAGTGCAAAAGCAGCATCTGCTGCAAGTATGCTGTTTCAATCTGAAGAACTTGTGTCCTTGAATAGAAACTAGATAATTATCATTTCTCATTGTGCTTGAATAAAACTTGATTGTTATCTTTACTATGCTTTTGTTGAAAATAATGCCTCTTGTTGGTGACAGGATTATCTTCAAAGAGGAAGGAACATTGTGATTTAGACAAACTTGAAAGAATAAAACGGCAGGCAGGGACTGGGGCCAATGCATTTTTGTCGGGGCACGGTTTTGAAACAGAGGTCTGCAGGGAACATGGATCTGAATATCTTATTAAAGCCGAACTGTTGTGTGCATGCACATTTCCCATATTTTCTTAAAGCTTCGACCTTAAATTATCTCTAGCAAATTCTATTTGTTCTTTGCCCCTGTATCATGTAATAATGTTGCCAGGCCCATTTTGTCTCTTCCTTTGTGCTTTAGATTTTGATTTCAGTGTCCATAGTGAAGGTAGGAGAACAATGATATGATACCCAAGCAAAAAGTTTTAGTATTGTCGCATCTATCTAAGACAGAAGGCTGCAAAACACAAATTTAATATAGTCAAACACTTGCATGGATGCACAAGCACAGAAGGTAACTTCTTTTGTGTTGACGATGGATCCAGCCCTTTGGCAATATAATAAATTCAATCCCTTTTCATTAATCATTTTTTTTTAAAAAAAATTGATCCCTACCAAATAAAAGGTATCTCATATTTTTCACCCAAAAGACATTTTCTCATTGTATTTAACCCTCAAAGGATGGAATGTTTCCTTCCTTCCCCTTTAAATTGAAAACATCTCAATTTGATCCATAAGAAGATAATTTATTCATTTTACTCCCTGAAAATAAATTCTTTAACAAATATAAATGTTGATCTCTATTATCCTAAATTGCCCTCCTCTCCAACTGGCCTTTAATTGTGGATCCATCACTGTTTAGTTTGGGATTGCTTTCATTAAATAGGTTGCTTCATTGTGTTATTGTTGCAATTCATTTGCTTGTTGCATTGTGTTATTGTTGCAATTCATTTGCTTGTTCTGATATATTCATTTGTCTGCACTATCTCATTTTCTTCAAAGAAATCTACCACTAATTTGGTTTGTGAACTTTTATAGGTTGTCAGTGATATTAAAAATAAGCTGGAAGATCAGGATGTTGTAAACTTGATTCAAGTAAACAAGAATTTCCGTGCAAAGTAAGTATGCATGAAAATTAGTCTTACAGGGTCAATTACAGTTTTCATTACGAAGTTGCTGGAGGTTTCGTTTGTTTGCTGGAAAGTAGTTTACTTTTTGAAAGTGAATTCTGGAAAATGAATTACTTTATGATGTTTGGTAGTGTAATGGAAAATAAGTTGGAAAACAGTTTCTAATATTTAGTTATGTTATAGAAAATAAGCTGAAAAATAACTTATTAATATTTTATTTTTCTGAAGTTTATTAAAATAATAAGGAACAATTCTTACAAATTAAATAGTTGAATGAGAATGAAATTGAAAAAAATATAATTTCATAAATTATCTCAAATAAAATAAATAATAATCAAAATAATAGAGATCAAATCTAAAAAATTAAAAAAAAATAAAAGATGAAGAAATTAAAATAATAATAATCAACATTTCATAAATTATTTGAAATAAAATAAGTAACAATAAAAAAAATGAGGATCAAATTTGATAGATAAAAAATTTCAAAAAAAAATGATAAGGAAAAAACAAATAACAATTATAAAAATAAGGACCAAAATTAATATAAAAATTAAATTTTAAGAGATGAAATTGAAAAATAAATATTCAAAACAAAATATATATAGCAATCAAAAGTTTAAGGATCAAATTTGATATAATTAGCAAATAATGACATTTCTAAATTTTTTACAATTTTCGGAAAGTGTTTTCTGCTCAAATTTTTCAGGAAAATACTTTCCTGAAAACCAAGCTAAATTTTTCTTTGACTAGAAAGTGTTTTCCGTTGACCAACTTTCCTAACAGCAAACAAACACAAGAAAGTTTTGAAAGTGATTTCCTGGGAATCACTTTCCAGAAAATAAATACAGCAAAAAAGGAAAATATTTTCCTGAAAACCAAGCTAAATTTTTCTGACTAAAAAATGTTTTTTGTTGACCGAGAAATGTTTTTCGTTTACTGGAAAGTGTTTTCTGTTAACCAACTTTCCTAATAGCAAACAAACATGGGAAAGTTTGGAAAGTGGTTTTTTGGAAACTACTTTTTGAAAAATAAACATGACTTGATTTACTTTTGTGATTGATTGGATTGAGTGTATTGATATTTCATGCCTGGGATAACTTAGTGTCATGAAGTTAATATTAGACTAGCACCAGGTGAACACTAGTATAACATCATAATGCAATAACAGGAGAATTTACTAATGACTATAAACATTTTCCCCACATTGGAGGATTGTTTTAAGCATGGTCTTTGAAATATTGACTTGTGTTTTACATTTCAGATGCTTGGACTACAAGAAGAGGACGGAAGACCTTGATTTGAAGGTATTTAGTATTGCACTGTTACCTGCACATTCTATTATTTACTTCTGCCTTTTTTTTTCCATTACAAATATGTCTTTTATTTCTTTAGTTGGGCCATCTTGTTTGTATGCTTACCATAGCATCTTATTGGAGATATCCTGGGAGTTGCACCTAATACAAGTCTATGCTTGTCTTGTATATATATTGGTCAGTGGAGACTAGGTCATGAATTTACATTTTGATCCCATCATTCTGATTATCAAAAAAAAAAAGATTATGTTGACATGCTTATGAATAATACAATAGGATGGAATTAAATAGAGGAAATATAATTGGGAGGGTGGATGGCTCTTATACAAGCCTATTTATCAAAGCATTCCTTTATAGTTTGTCCTTGTTTCAGATATTGGTATTAGCAGTTGAACATGTATAGAAAATCATGTGTAATTTCCTTTGGTCAGGGGCAAAGGAAAGGAATAAGGATCATTTGGTAAATTGGGAAGTTTGTTATAAACTAAGAAAGCAGGAGGCATGGGTTCTCTCCACTTGATTCATAAGAATATGGCTCAAGTGTATAAATGGTTATGGCGTTTTACTTTAGAGTTCATTCTCTTTGGCACAAGGTTATTCATTCTTCGTGCTTCCCCTAACGGTTAGAATGGCAAGGCTGGAACAACTTGTAGACATTGAAGTCCTTGGACATCTAGTATATCCACATTTTATTCTGCCCATGAAATTCAAAGTGGGTGATGCTGGCTGGGTTTGTTTTTTTTTTTTTTTTTTTTTTGTGGGGGGGGGGGGGTGGTTATGGGTGAGGGTGAGGGAACTCTCTTTTCTATTTCTTTTCCTTGACTTTATTACCCTTCAATTTACAGTGCTTCCATCTCACAATTTTATCAGATGGATGGGGATAATGGTAATTGTGATTTCCACTTTTTCTGCAAAACCCTAAATGACACTGAAATTCAGGATCTCCTGATCTTGTTACTTTTATCGTTTATGATTTTTCATCCCAAGAGACATTGGATTTTAGAATCTGAACATTAGATGGGACTGGAACTTGAACATTTTTCTATGTTATCTTCCACGAGACCCATACACATCTGAAGATGCTTTGGTTCAAACAATTTGGAAAGCTAAGGACCTTATGAAGTTGAAACTTTCATTTGGATTCCTTAGCAAGATTAACCCTAATGATTTTTTTGCAAATTAGAAGGCCACACAATGCTTATCTCCTAATACATGTTACCTGTCACCAAAATGGAGAATCTTGGGGGAACTTATTTCTTCGTCGCCGTATAGCTTGGGATATGTGGCAGAGGGTTTTCAATTGGGAGTGATCTTTGATGATCTTGAGATGGTTTCTGGAAGGGATAAAGATTGTAAGATTTTATGGAGATGTGCTGGTACTTCAATTATTTGATGCATTTTTTGGAGGATTTCAGGCAATCACTTGATTCCAAAACAGTAGTTGTGGGATGGGGTAGTCTTCTTGGTGTTTTTTCACGGTGTCAAATTGCAGGGGCCTTGGAGGCGCTTCCTAGCTAATTTACAATGGGATGGGAGTGCTTTGTTATTTGAACCTTGATTGTTCTTTCTTTTAATCATGGCTTATTCTCCAATTTTGTACTATTCATTTTCATTTTGTTTTAATACTTTTCTCCTTTTATTTTATGAAAAATAAATAAATAAATAAAATAGGTAGTGGTTTTTTTTCCACTTCCAGAATCACCGAACTCTTGCCTGCATTTTATTTGTTTTGAATGGCACACTAAACTCTCACTACAAGTCTAACAGCCTCGGTAATAACAGAGTTTATGCAACTAGATTCCCATTTGGTGTCCAAAAAGATGCAACTAGTAATAAATCAAATCTAAACTGAAATCTTGTACACAAAGCTTGCTTTGGAAATGAAGAGAGTTTCAATTATTCTACGAGCTGATGAGGGTTTCCATCCTTATTGATGCAGGTTACACGGCTAAGAAGTGAACTGGGACAAGCTCGAATGGAGTATGAACAGCTTATGGTTGAATTAACATCATAAGATAAGAGCCGAGAAAGAAAAGTGGGTGGATATGTGGATTCTGTTGCCTTGGTTTTATCTTGCAAAGGTCATTTTCTCAACTTAGAGGGGGGATTTTTCATGGCTGTGTGTGTGAACCTGTCAAACTGTTAAGTGTTTTGCTTGCAGGTCAAATGAGCTCTTACAAAAGAAACCAAAATGGAGCGTGACAGTTGTGAATCATGAAGTCAACATGCCCCTGTAGAATAGTTTGACGAGTTACGTTTGACTGTGGGTCAGCAATCTGTGTTTTCAGACCTGATATATGCATCTGCAATTTCGTAGGATTGGAATTTTAAAACTACTGATGTGGAGTTCTTTTTAAAGTTAAACCAATTTATATGTGCACATGTAGATGAAAAGCAAAAGATCCTTGTTCCTTGATGCCTCTCTGCCGTTGCATGAGTTCTTGAATTTAGTGCATCTGGTCCTCTCACTTGCTTTGCACGTGTATTATTCAATTTATTTGATATTAATTAGTTGCATTGCTGCATTGCGTGAAGCATAAATGAGAAATATAAACACAAATGTAAAAGAGTGTTGTCTAGTATTATTATTATTATTATTTGAGTTTTTGTTTGAATCCTGCGTATTAGTCTCAGATACATGTCCTTGCATATCAATAAGGTAAGAGAGAGAGAGGAGTATTTTAAAAATAGAGAGAAGTTGTGGAAATTCTTGCATAATTAAGAAGAGGAAGAAAGGATTAGTGCACCGTGAAAGCACCCAAAAAAATATTGAAATTGAAAATGAAAATCCTATCAAAATAGAATATAGTCCTATTTCTCTCTTTATGCGATTACCATTGTTTCAACAATTATGCATGTTGTCTGTGAAGAAATATGTCTGTTTGTTGTAGTTGTCATTGTCGTCCTTGCAAAATAATAATTGTATTGACATTGATGATTTAAAATATCATTTATTTAATACACAAATGGTATCCCCTTGTGTGTGTGTGTGTCGGCAGTTGTGCTAGAGTTTTTGTTTGCCTTCACTATTATTCAATATGTTGGTATGTGGCAAATATGATAAAACTGATGGATGTAACATGTCTTGTACACAATTTATCTGAGGCTCAGGGTAATAAATATGTATAAGCTTGGTAGAATATTAATTCGAGGTGATGTAGGTTTAGTTTTATTTCTTGACGTTGTATCTTTGAGGTTAATTACGCACTGAAATTAAATATACATGAGTCTAATAATATATTATGTCCAACACTTTTAAGTTCAATTATTCATTTAGCTTAAATGCAATTTAAATCTCAAAAAATACTAAAAGTTTTTTGGGCTTGGTCATGTGTGGAGTTTAAGGTATATAAGCTTAGAAAAATAATAGATTCAATATTTTTAGGTTTAGAATCATTCAACATATAATTGATAGTCTTTACTGGTTTCATGTTAAGTTATAATAAGACTATGCTTAGAACAAATGTTAATAGTTTATAATAGTTATCTTTTTATATGTTTAAAAGTCATTTGAAAGTGGATTATATTTTAATTGATATTAATGCTATGATACTTTTTTTCATCAATATTAATATAATATGGTGTACTAAATAACATATAAAAATCTTCTATAGCTTTGTAGCTTTGTTGTTTTTCCATTAATATTAACATTAATATGAATATATTCAAGAGAAATTTTTTTTTTTTGGTTTTTGAGTAAATAATATGGCTCAAAATGCAAGGACTATAAATACTTTCAGAGTAAATGATAACCATCTAGGTAAATGATAACGATATTTATTCTCTTATTATATATACTAAAAGTATTTATAACACAAAAACTAAAAGCAAACATTAATTTTTTTAGAAGTTAATGTTTATTTATTTGTTTATTATAATCTCTTATAATAAAATTATTGATTTAATCATTTAATTTTTTTAAAAAAAATTGTTTTGTTAAAACTAAGACTGCTACCATTAATCATTTAAAAATAAGCATTAAAATTGTTTCAATATAGCAGTGCTTGAAAATTGTTTCACAAAACCGGGCAAAATGCTTTCTTATCAGCCTCTATTTGAAAGCAATTTAAGAGCCCTTTACATTTAAAAATTAAAGCTTGTATAGATCCGGCTAGAGCCTAAACAATTCCATTCTACGCTTTTCCATGAACTTATATTAAAGAATAAAAAATCACAAAAAAAAAATCATAAAAACATGGTAAAATTTTTTTATTATATGATAAAAATATAAAAAATATTTATCATAAATTCATAAAAATATCATTTAAATGATCAAATTATAAAAATAAAAACTCTAAAAAAACAAAAAAAAACCCAGGAAATTTAAATAGCTAATAAAAAAAAGTCATGAGCCTGTTAACAACAGCCCAGGTGCATGATCCCGAGGGAGGTCCACGCTTCTAGACCTATTTTTCCTTGCTTCACCCCTTCCTTCTTCTTTTTTTTAAAAAAAAAGGAAAATTGTTTGCTTTCCAGGGCTCAATTCTCCATGGCAGCAAAATTGTTTGCTTTCCAAAAAAATCATAGACCACAAGTCGTCTCTAGTCTATGGAAAGCTGAAAAAATCAGAGACCACAAGTCGTCTATAGTCTATGGAAAGCAAACAATTTTGCTCCCATGGAGAATTAAGCCCGCGACCTTCACCCAACTCCGTTGTTATCCAAACAGGAAGTCAATTCATTGTCCATATGAATAGTTAAACCGATGTCACACCTTTTAATTGTTTTAATAATAAAAAAATAATTATAACTAAAAAAGTCATTACAAAAAGTTCATAATTAGTACAATGATTATTATTTTTCTTAATTCATTTCAACCAATATTAGCTGAATTTACGTATGTTTGGATTGAATAAATTTAATATTAAATATGTTTTGAACTATAAGAAAATAATTCAGATGTTAATACTTTTGTATATAAAATTTAGAATTTAGATCAATAAACATCTTTTATAAGTATGATTTGTTAATGTTTCTATTTAAATATACAAGAATAACACAAATAAAAACAAATATATTAATTGATATAATGTTTTAATAAAATCATTTTACAAAATATTGATATGGTAAAATATTTATTTATTTATTTATAAATAATTGTACCTTTCTAGGCATTACTAGATTATTAAAAGAAACTAAAAGGAATGGATGAATTATTTTAGTAATTTGTATTGTAGCTTTAGATTTATTGTTATTGTAGATTGGAATAGTAAGATTATAGTTTTACCATTCTTAACAAAAAGAGGGCCTGGGCAGCGAGATTACAAAAATATTTTTGTTGTTTTTTGCATAGTAAAATAACTAACATGCTATTATAAAATTATATTAAAACGACATGTAGGGATTGTTTTTGACTTTTTCCTTTTAGTATGTCAATAAATTGAATACAATGTTTTTTATATCAAATTATCTTTAACTTGCACTCATGGGTTTTTTAATCTTTTTATTATGATTTTTTTTTGCTATAATTGAGTTGGATTTGGGATAATTTAGAATTTTGGTATATATAAAATATTATTTAATATTAAAGGTGGATGATGCATTTTGTTCAAGCGATCATGTGGGACTGTTTACTCTCTTTGGATTGTGAATGGTCAATATGTTGTTTTCTAGTAGCTAAACACTGATTTTCATCGTAGGGTTTGGATCTTCAAAGCATTCTTTGGGCAACATGTGGGATCTAAAGAACCTCAATTTGGCATTGATGATTTTATTATTATTATTTTCATACATAGCCTTGTAAATTTTCAAGATGAGATGAGAGTTACACATGATAGAATGATAAATAGATATTCATCTAAGATGAATGGAAGACCTGTAACTATTGTATCTTTAATACCAAAACAAATATACGAGTAGCAACTAAAATTAAAAAAGAAGGAGATGATTGAAAAGAAAAGCTTGTATAATGATGTTATTCTTTAACTTGGTTCTGATTTGTTAACTGTAGAAGATTTTTTCCATGATACAACTTCAAGATCAAATGTTTTTAAAGAAAAGGAGGATGATCCAAACCAAGTTAGGTCCAAAATTGACTCAAAATGTTTGCTAACCAGTTTTGCAAGATTAAACATATCTCTCAAATTGTACATCAAATCAAGCAAAAAAAAATATACAGAGAAATACTAGATATATAAAACTATACTGTAGTAAATTTCCAGATCAAATAAAGTTGAAGGATATTATCTGAGAGGGTCAAAATTACTAGATGAATTTTGTCAAATTTATCAGACTAGATCTTCTTGTACTACTTGGAACATATTTAAAGCTATAAGTGGAATATTGCTTCGATTTAACTTCAACTGAAAATTAGACATCTCAAACTTTCTAACCATACATGATAGGTTAATTAATTTATCCAAACAAGAAATAATGACGTGTTTAAAGTCAGGACTAAAATTTGTCAAAAATATATGAAAAGTAAAGATTTGGGCTACATGAAAGAATTTTAGTATGAAGACTTTGTTATTATTATCCCATTTTATTTATTTATTTATTTAGTTTTGAGTAATTGTTTTTAATTTGAGTTTGTTTGGGCCTATTAGACATTGTTCATGATTTTTTTTTATTAACTTATATTAGTTGGTTACTAGTTTATTATACCCATTAGATTGCAACTCAAAAGAAGTTCATTATTATTAGTTATAGGATACTATATTATGTTTTTTGAGTTGCAAGTTTAGGCAGCAAGTTGGAGAATAATCATAAATTTTGTTTTTATTTGTTTGTGGCAAAATAATTTTTTTTTAGAAATAAAGATAGTACACTAATTTATCAAAAATTAACCAATTTTGTGATGTCATTTATATATTTAAGATTCTTAAATAAAAGGTTATCGTGAAGATAATTTTTTTTTCAATACTTTTGATTTTTAGATACAAACTTTTTAGATTGTTATTTATTTCATTAGTGGTTATGTGACCATATAATTAAAAGGTTAACATTCTAACTTAACCTATAATTTATTTTTAATTTCAAATGGAAACATGTTTTCATACCAAGAGAAAGGGATAACATGAATGTACAAAATCACATATGAACTTGGATATTCAAATATTCAAGGTATGTTTGGTACTCAATTGATAATAAAATTATATATAAGATAAAATTAATACAATCAAAAACTTTGAGACTCGATTGATAGGATCATATATATATATATATATGTATATGTGTGTGTGTGTGTATAAAAGGCAAATTTGAAGTTTCACTTGATATTTATTATCTTTTATTCCATTCCTTATTTATCTATTTATCCAAACAAGGGAAGGGAATTTTATTTTTATTTTTTGATCATTCCTTCCCCTCCGATGTTTTCCAAACAAACTTTTAATCTTGACTAGTTGAATGCACGTGTTCTCACTGGCTCTTAACATAAACAAACGGCAGGGGCCAATTTGTTAATGCTTTGATGATAGGTTGAGCTCCTCGTTGAGAAATTCCATCGGCTCAGGACTGACTTGTCAAATCCATTATATATTGTGGACTGATTTGTAGTTATCCCAAAAAACAATTAATTTATTTTTATATTTTAATATTGTGTTAATATATTAATGTCAATATATTTTTTAATAATTTTATTTTAAAAAAATTAACTGTTACTACAGGATTAAACAGGCAATTACACGGCAACAAACTGTAACTGAAACAGAGGGAAGAAGAGAGAAAAATTGAAGAAGGGGAGCACAGAGGAAGAACTCAAGGAAACAAACCCACTTGTGAAGTCAGTTTTTTTTTTTTAATATATTTTTAATGAAATTTAAGTCTGCTGTTCCTTTTCAATTTCATTTTTTGTGTATTATTGTTTAATACGCAGGCGGCTCTGCCCTGCGAGAGTGAGAGATGAATTGGGCAAAGCGTTTGCATTTGTTTGCCAAGACTTACAAAACTGAATCTTGGATAAAAAATACCATTGCTTCTCACCGATTTGGACATACTAGTAATGTTACCTCCGATCCCCACTTGAGTAGAAAGTTTCTAGCGCAGCTCTGGGTTGCTGATAGGGAAATGGAAAAGTTTTCTAAAAGAAAAACAACCCAGAAAAAGATTGTTAAGAGCAAGGCGGCTGCTGCTGCTGTATATGATTCACACCCGGTTGGAAAATGGTTTTCTGATGCAACTGTTACAGAGAACCCCCCTCCCAGTCAATCTCTTTCTGGGTTTTTAGAGCCAGGATTTCCTGAGGAGGTGAGATGATTTTTCTGCTACTTCTTTTATTGCATATCTGATGCTTCTGTGTTGATTTATACTCATAAGCAGATTGATCCTTTTTTAGTTTAGTATTGAAATGAGTATGTAGATGACCAACTCTTTCTTGGTTTCTTAGGCACGGGTAGCACCTCTTCTGGCTAGGTCCAATTTGCTTATTACCAGGGATATAGAGTGGGCAAATCTTGTACTTGGTTTTGAGCAGGTGATTTTTCTCTACATTAGCTTCTTTCCACCTTCTTGCATTAATCTCATACGATTCTGTGGTTCAAGCTTTTAAAATGCCAAGGTATTGTCTTGTGTATTTTTTATTATATAACTTCACAATGCTGATCTTTTCTACTTTGATGTATGGGATAATTTGCTGTTTTTTTTTTTTTTATTCAAATATCAGACAACCGTAATTTGATTGGTTGCATGCAAATTTCTGACTTTTTCCCGATGGTCGGTGATTTCTTATGTTGCACATAGAGCTTTGATCCTGCCTTTATAATATCATCATGTCGTAATGGTAATGTTGCTGTTTCAAATGTCATTGAAGCTATGCATATTGTTATTAAAAAAATAAGGCATGGTTTTTATTACCGTCATATTTGGCTTTGTAGATGCTGACTGTAATTTTATGAGTTAAATGGTTGGCACTTGGCTATTGATTTACTCAGAATCTATATTTATCTATTGGTTCTTATCTTAATGTTTTTTAAGACTATTGTTGGTAACCTGCTTGTTTTTCTGTCCTCTTGCTGCATTGTGGTTAATTTTATGAGGTCTTTACCATAATGATTGATGAGTTATGTTTGCATGCTTGTATTTTGGAACTGACTATTAGTTTTGTTTTTTATATAGTTTGTTTTGGCTTTTAATTGTCAATATTGCTAATTGTATTATTATGATTGCAGGAGAACCGTTATGCAATAGTAGACGTGTGCTACCCGAAGTCAGTAAGTAATCACAATCACATATCCTTCTATATTTTTGAATATGAAATTAGTGTCTAATAAGAAAATATTGTTTTAGAATTGAATTCTCATCAAATTTGTAATATTTTATGCTTCTTTTGTAGCCTGTAGGTTTTATACGTGAGCAAAGTAATGTAATTGCCAGACAGGTATTCTTCCTTTCCCACTTGTATCCTTCATGAATTTTTACATGTTCTATCAGAATTCTGAACTTTCTATTGTGGCCCTCATGCTGATTGAATTTGTTTCTCCAAAGCTGCTAGTTTATAGAGGTGCCAATAGGAAAGCTGGTATGTTGCATGAAACCTGCTGCTATCATGCTCTGTCATGCCTATGATTATATTGAAATACAACAGTGTCTGCATGGTTTGATGAAGTTTCACTAGATAGAATGTTTTAAGTTGGTTTTAAAGCTTAATTTAGTTGACTTATTCAGAATATGAAATTGAAACAGGATAATGAGTTAATAGTCTTGGAATCATGTGTTTCGATCTTCTTAAAAGATTCCATTTAGGTTTACATGCTGCCAATGCTACATTTTTCTGGCTGCATCATCCACGTATGAATTAGGGCATTAGACATACTATTGTATATTCAATGTATTGTATTAGTGGGGTGGCATTTTTTCTTATAACTAAATAGCAGAGAGATTTTGGGTCGTCATTTTTCACAGTAGCTGATTGGTTGGGAGATGTTGTCTATGTTTGTTGTATGTGGGGAACATTGACAGAAAAGTAGAAAATTTCCTCCAAGTGCATATGGTGGGCGTTGGGAGAAGAAGTTAATGTAATAGCTTAAAAATATATGCCATGGTTGGTCTGAATTTACTTGTTCAGTGTGGTGTTTGTAGTGAAGTCTAATTTTGGAATTTTTAAGATTCCACTCAAATGTTGTAGGTTAGGATTTTGTTTGGCCTCTCTTTGGACTATCCTCACTGGTTGTTTAGCAGAGGCTTTTGGGGGGACAATTCAGATGGAGTGGCCAGAATTTCTGATATGATTCCTGTCTTTTCATGTTTTCTTTCATCTTGGAGGATATATTGCTGTCCTTGTTGTATTTATTTCACTTCTTCCGAAAAACGTTCCTTTTGTGTGTATGTATGTTGAAGAATTATTGCAGTTTATTCTTTATTTTGGAATTGAAATACTTGAAATTGTTGCCTTGCTCATTTAGGTTACTGATGCTTGTTTTTTTCTCACAGCTCCTTCGCCTAAGGCGCCCTTTTGTTGCTTACATAACTGATTCTATGGGTAATGAGCTGTTTAGGGTGAGTGCTTTCTACAGATTCTCCTTTGAACCATGTGACACCTTGCCAGGTGCTAGAGTTTTGGATGGGCTTGTTTCATCTATAAGGTTTTATTTCATTAAAATTAGGTCCGGAGGCCTTTCTGGTGGTTAACAAGCTCAATTTATGCAGAGATTGATGGTAAGGTGTGTCAATATAACATATCTCTGCTTTGTTAACAATGGGTTATGAAACTGTGAGAATGTAAATTGCATTCCAGTTTTCATTATCTCAAACATCTGTTCCTTTCTAGGAAATCGGTGTTGTTCACAGACGATGGCACTTGTGGAGAAGGATATATGATTTGTACTTGGGGTAATTTCTGCCATTGCCCAAGTCATTTTAATATTATTTATAATTGTAGTGTGCAATTAAGGTTAGTGGCCTTGCTGTAGGGGAATTTGGCAAAATTAATTAAAAAGGGACTACAGTAAGTACATTATGAAAACACAGTACTCTCGAGCTAATTAACATTGCTGTTGACTGCTCAACTTTTACAGAATTATCCCTTTAGAAAGCAAAATTTCAGAACTACCCCCTGGTAATTTAGATCCCAAATCCTACAATATTAGCTAGGAAAGTATTTTTTTAGGAGCCGGTTCCAGTTCAGGTTAAGCCAGCCAAATAGACACGCATGCTTTAGCATTAGGTTTCTCCCTTGTCTAAAACAATCACATAAAGATATATGAAATCTTTTTTTTGGTTTCTAGAGCATTTTGGAACTCTAGCATATTGAAAAAAAAAGAAAAGAAGAAGATATAATAATGTAGTGCAAAAAATATTTAGAAAAAATAGCATGGTTTAGAGTCGTAGATGACATATGTGATTCGTGAGTCGCAAGTGTCATTTGTGATTTGTGAGTTGCAAGTGTCATTTGCGACTCTCAAATTGTAAAATTATTGGACATAAGATTCAATAAAGAGAGAGGAGAGAGAAAAACAATGGAAAGAAAGAAAGACTTTGGAGGCACACCAAAACTCCTATGATAACACCACCGGTACTATTAAAAAGATATTGACGAGATGAATCTAACAATATCAAGAAAGGTCATCGACGGTGATCGGAGTGGGTCAAACAAGCAGCCTAAAAGCAAGTGAGCCCTAACACCTGTGGACGATTCGTGTGGCCCATTCCGTTCATCGCTTATGATCTTCTTTGGTGTTGTTGGATTTGTCTTGTTGAGATTTTTTTATGGTATTGGTGATGCCATTATCAGGATTTCGGTGTGCCTTCGAGTTCTCAATTTTTTTTAACTTTTTTCTCTCTTTCGTCTTCTCATAAATTATGAGGAGAAAGGAGAAAGAATAGTAAAAAAAAGTAAAAAAATAAGAAAGAAAATAACCCTAAAGGCACACTAAAGCTCCAATGACAACACCACTTGTACCTTAAAAAAATCTCAATAAGACAAATCTAACGACATCAAAGAAGGTCACCAACGATGACTAGAGTGGGCCACACGAGCCGCCCAAAGGTGTCAGGGCTCACCGATCTTTGGGTTGCTCGTCTGGCCCACTCTAGTCATTATTGGTGACCTTCTTTGGTGTTGTTGGATTCATCTTATTGAGATCTTTTCAACAGTACCGGTAGTGTTGTTATCGGAGTTTTGATGTGCCTCTAGGGTTTTTTTTCCTTTTTCTCTCTCTCTCCTCTCTCATCTATTTATTGAATCTTGTGTTTAATAATTTTGCAATTTGAGAGTCGTAGATGACACTTGTGACTCAAGAATCGCAAATGTTATTTGTGATTTTCTAAATTATGCTATTTTCCTAAATACTTTTTGCACTATGTTAGTTTATCAATATTTTTTTACTATGCTAAAATTAAAAAAAAAACTCCTGGTTTCTGCATCAAAAGCCTTAAACACATCTAACGGCTCTACTGAATTTATGTAAACCACTTCAACTCATTTGCTTCGCACTAAATAGCTAGCAAAATGACAATCTACTTCCATGTGCTTATTTCTTTCATTGAAATTGTATTTGAGGAGACATAAGTGGCTGCTTTATTTTCAGAAAACATCTGCATTGGCTTGTCATATAAGAATCTCTTGTAATATAGAGGATTTTCTACTAGATTATCTATAAATTAGAAAATAGATTTAGTATTAATCAACTCGTAGGGTTCACTCTTTATTAAGATATATGATTTGATTCTGTTCTTGATTCCCGAGAATACTCTCTTACAGGAGAGACCTGACCAATATCATTTACATGCTCTATAAGCCATAGCTATATGCTCTCCCTCAGCACTTCAACTTGTCACAACACAATCAGCATAGGAGAATCCTACATTGTTCAATGGATTATTTCTTGAATAGTAGCCCTTACCCAGGAGCTTGAGAAATTTTAAAATCTGTAAACCTTCCCAATGAGATTGTAGAGGACTTTGCATGAGTTGATGAAGCACTCAAAGACAAATGTTATATCAGGTCTAGTTATTTTCAAGTAAATAAGTTTCCCAATTAACATTCAATAATTCTAGGATTATCAACTCAGCATCTTTTTCCCTAGACTTCACATTGGGATCCATTGGGGTTACAGTTGGTTTGGCTCCCTAAAGTACCGTCTCTTATAACAAATGGGCAACATACTTCCATTGCGAAAAGCAATACTTTACTATGGTGTGTGCATGTGTCATTCATTTCAGCGTTAGATTCTTTGTTGTACTTGCTTAACTTGTATAGATTGGATATAGTGTTTCCTTCTATTGTGATTTGTGATTCTATTCAATTACTGCTCTATCTAGTGGTCCATTGCCTTAAACCTTAATTTCTTACGTGAATCCATTTTTCTCCCATTTAGAGAATATATGCTAACAATATTATTCACAGAAATAAGCAGTTTGCGGTAGTTGAAAATCCTGGTTTATGGAACTGGACCTTTACCCTCAAGGACATTAATGGGGAAGTGCTGGCTCAAATAGATCGTGATTGGAGGGGTTTCGGATTCGAGGTTGTCTCCATTCCTTGTAACTGATGTTTCCGACTATCTAGTGGATTGTAATGCATTTTTTGTTCACTCCCATGACTAGCATCTACCTTGAAATGTGTGCTCAGAACTTGTTTCCTTAAGAAAACTTAAGGTTCATATTTACTTTGGTTCTGTAACATGATAAGTGGGTTTTTTTTATCTTAATATTAGTTTTGCCAGGGATAAAAGCTGTATGATGACATATCCATGCATAGATAGCTTCATGTGCCATAAGTTACATTGTTATGATTCTTATCATTATTGCAATGCAAATTACTTGTTTGGTGAATATGCTTACAATATTGATTGAAGTGCTTTCCTTCTTTATGAATTGAACTTTTTTTGATAAAAAAAGATTGAAGTTCTTTTGGCAGAAAAAAGCCAGATTTATGATAGAATTTGATCTAATACATTTGCTATCAATAGCAAGGAAAACAGGTTTTCAAAAATTATTCTATAATCATGAGACAATAACAGATCTTATTAATACATGTTCATATTTTTATCACCATACTACTCAGCTATGACTTCCCCATCAAGCATTGTAACCAAAGTAGAGTTTTGCTGCCAAGGTTTTGGCCAGAAAGGCTTTAATTGTTTGCTGCCATCATTTTATGTTGCTTCAGCAGCTGAATGGAAAGTAAATGTTCACATTTTTTGCCGATGCAATGTAGATCTTTACTGATGCTGGTCAGTACGTGATAAGATTCGGGAGTTCAGATCCCAACTCGAAAATTGGCCCTGCTAGAACGGTAAAATAGCAAACTGATCTCACTATACTCATAACATGTTTCTCTAATACCCAATTTTCATTTTATGCTTTTTGTCTGTGCTTGTTTTTCCTTGTCCTCCACAGATTCAAGAGTTGGAAGTAACCCGTCCACTGACTCTGGCAGAGAGAGCTGTAGCTGTTGCTCTTGCTATTTCATTGGATAATGATTACTTTTCAAGACATGGTGGCTTGTAAGCTTGTTTGCTGAATTTTTACAGGGACTCATTTTATATATGTGCATTCTGTTCTCATCATAACAGCAAGATAATCTGGATATTATAAATTTCTGGTTTGATTATCTTCAAGTTCAGCTACTCTGATCCATTCCCTTGCCTCCTCTTTTTTTTTTTTGTTGGCATTCCTATTGAAATTCAACTTTGTTTTCTTCCTTGATAACGCAATTTTTATTTTGTGACCTTGCTTTGAATATATATTGATGACCCTTTTTTTTTGGTGTCAGTGGACTTCCTTTTGTTGAAGTTGGCGAGTAGATTCGAGCGTGTTATAATTACTGAAACGTTATGGTTGGTTTCCAATTTATGTAGCATGAGGGTTCGTTGACTAAGACCAAGGAACTTGGAAGCTCCTTCAAGGATTTCTAGCAGAGATCTCCGCTCTTGTTCCCTGTCATTTCAGCGTGTTTATGATTGGAACTACCCATAATAGTGAGTGATCTCTGTAGCCTGTGAGAATGTATTTGACTGTTAAGACCTCTAATCTGATGGAGGACAGTTTTGGGGGTATATTTTCATGCGGTTTCCCCGCACTGTCTCTCTCTCTCTTTTGAATTTCTCTTCTTTTCAAATGATGGATACTCTTGTCCATGCATCTTGCTGTTGATGCTTAACAAATTAGGAGCCTGTCTCCCTCTCTTTTTAATAACACCACCCATCATTCTTTCAGTGAATCTTTTCTTGTTGCGAGTGTGCTTACCTTTTTTTTTTTGATAAAAAAGCTGTTATTTTGGTGATGAACTGACGAGTATATAACTGATACCGAGTACCTTGTAACTTTGTTCTTCTATTGTTTTTTAATGGCAATTTAGTTATAGGTAGAAAATCTGGGGAAGTTTTTCCTTGAGTGCACTTATAGCTGGCCGGCATTCGAAGTAAAATAGCTGAAGCAGGGCTGCATGGGGCATGGCTCTCATTGCATCTAGTCATTGCTAAAATGAACTAGCGATCAAAAATATTTTCACTTAAATGGAATTTTAATTAATTAAATTTTATTTTCTTAATATGTATGATATTTTCCCTATAATTTTTCCTCTGTGTAATATTCTTTCTCTCTTTTTTGCATAATCTCTCGTATAATTTTTTAGTCCCTCTCTTTTTAGCTCATTGTTCTCTCTTTTTCTTATTTCACTCTCCAAACTCTCTTTTTTTTATTATTATTATTTATATTACTATCATAATAAAATAATTAAATTCTGAAAATTAAATAACTAGGGGGATTAAAACGAGTTATAACATTGTACATGATATTTGCTATACATGAACTGATTGGCATGTAAATAATGTATTGACAACGTATTGTAAAATGTTCATGTTATTATTTTTAGAGATATATTGGACATTATTATCCATGTCAAATTATCATGTAATATTTTTTAGAAAATAAGAAGAAATTAAAATTAAATGATTGTAGAAGAAGTTAAATGAGGATCCTCTAGGTTACAAGTCAACCCGTCACATCAAGCATTTTAAGTATTAAATTATGTATTTTGATTTTGATTTTTTTTAAATTTGGTTTTCTCTCACTTAATTTTTATTTTTATTTTGGATTATTTTTGTGAATTTGTTAACTTAGTAATTATCAATTTTTTTCCTTTAGTTCAATATTTTGACTTGGGCTCTCAATGTTTTAATTTTTAATTTTAATTTTTAGTTTTTTATCAAATTTTAATTTTTTTTTAACTTTATTTTTAGATCTATAATCTTGATTTTTTTAATTTTATCACTCAAGTTTGCTAGTATTTTGTTTTTACTTTTTTTTTGTTTATTAATTTTTTTTTAATTTTATCTTTCATTGTTTTGATTATTGAGAATTGATAGTCATTATTTTTGTACAATTTTCTTTCAGTGATGTAGAGTCATTAATTTTATTTTTTAAAAAATACATTTACAATACTTAAATATAGTTTTATTATGTTTAAAAAAATAGCTCAAGCCCTTAGTAAAACACGGACAAACTAGTCAGGGATGTTTAAATGTGATAGATATTATTTTTTTAATTTTTTTTTAAAATATATTAAAATAATATTTTTTTATATTAACATATCAAAATAATTTAAAAATACTAAAAAATATAAATTTAAAAAATAAAATAAAAATTATTTTTTAAAATTATTTTTAAATCATCAAAATAAATAACATCAAAATTATTAAATACATGAGGATAATAAATTGTAAGTGTAAGATGTACGAGAGTCATTATTAATGGAGCAAACAGCTTGTAGCTGCTTCGCTCTCAATAAAATGTGAGGGAAGCTTACCTTGTGATTGCCTCACTAACATGCTTGTCAACTTGAGCTCTTTTTTCCAAAACCATTTATCTACATGCCACGTTGCTTTACATCACCATTAAAGTTTGTTTAATTTTATATTTTAAAAATATTTTAAAAATTAATATTTTTTTATATTTTCATATCTTTTTAATTCATATTAATATCAAAAATAATTTTTTTAAAATAAAAAAAATATAATTTTAAGTAAAATTCACTATGAAAATCAACTATTTCCTGTCTTTACATCACCATTTATCCCCACGCCAAGACCCCAAGTGGTGCATGCAAACCAGCAGCTGGTTTGCTGCACCTCGAAAATTGGCCAACAAAGAGATGCAGCTCCATATCCCAGCATCGAACCTCCTAAGATGGGTGCTTTAACATCTGCTCTTGCGGACTTCAACTTGCTAACATGCCTCAATCCTTTTCTGCAAGAAACTCAGGTGGCATAAATATTGTCGACTCACAACCATAAATATCAGAACTTATTATACGTAAGAAAGCTATTCTGTTGAGGGTCATTGGCCAGACCCCAAGCCAGTTCAAGCATTTGCTATGGTGTTAGCACGGGGATGGTTCTTTTGAATCAAGCCATCCAGAAGCCTGATTGTTCTTTCTATAGATTTGAACCAATAGAGTCCAGCCAAGTTGGAAAGAGAGTGATTGGTTTATGTGTTGTCAACGGGTTCTCTTTGCCTTGTTTTCTTCTTCTTCTCGGCAGTGTGGTACCAGAGCCCCTAAAACTGCCTTGGCTGCCATTTTACCTACTTCTGCCCAAGCTTGTTCTCTTGTGAATTTTCTTTATTTTCTTAATGCGATGCATGACAAACAAGTCTGTGATATTGCAACCTCTATCAAACATGAAACAAAAACATGGTTTCAGGGCTTGTTTCTCTTGCTCTCATTACCGAAGATCGATCAGAATCAACAATTCAAAACCTATAGAATCATCAGGTGGCAAATACACAGCCAATCACAACGAACGCGGGTCAAAAGACCACAAATCAGCAATGTGGAAGGAAGAAAGCATTGCTATGGCAACCACTTGTAGTTTTGAAAACATTTCTCAATGGCTAGTAAATTCCAAACACCACCCAGAGGAAAACCTCCGGAAAAAATCCTTAGTTTTAGTTCGCGAAGCATGACAAAATTGAAGGAAAGGGAAAAGGAAAAAATCCTTGCACAAACAGGCAGCGTAAGATTCCTCAGAATGAATATTTTTAATGGTACAGAAAACCTCATGCCTAATCAGTCACATACATCCCAAAAGTTTAAAATGAATGTTACAAAACAAATATGCTTCAAAATTTTGCACTAAATTGTGCAAACAAAACAATAACATAACTAGCCCCGGGAGCATAATCCAAGGAAAAATCATAACTTCATGCAGCAGTTTGGGATGCTGCAAGCCTCTTTCTAGCCTCCTCAATGATAGACAACTTAATACCCTTGCCCTTGGGAAGAGAAACCCATGGCTTGGTGCCCTTTCCAATGGTGAACACATTGCCCAAGCGGGTGGCGAACTCATGGCCAGTGGCATCTTGAATATGAATTGTCTCAAAGCTTCCCTTATGCTTCTCCCTGTTCTTGATTACTCCAACTCGGCCTCTGTTCCTTCCTCCAGTGACCATTACAACATTTCCCACGTCAAACTTGATGAAGTCTACTATCTTGTAATTCTCTAGGTCGAGCTTGATGGTGTCATTGGCCTTGATGAGTGGGTCTGGGTAGCGTATAGTGCGTCCATCATAGGTGTTCAGGTAAGGGATGCCTTTCTGACCAAACTGAATAGACCGAACTTTGCAAAGCTTAAACTGCACAAGCATTAAAAAAATATAACAACAAATTCAGAACCGACCATGATACCATTATCGGACATGAAACTAAATACAACACATCTACCCTTCAGAAAACAAAAATTATCAGAATTGCAGCAACAAAACCACAGAGCCAAGAGTATCACAAACCTTGGCCTCATCTTCTCTGAGGGAGTGGAGACGGAAGCGGCCTTTGGTGTCATAGAGGAGTCGGAAGCTCTCGTTTGTCTTTGGGATTGATACAACATCTATAACAGAGATTGAAACTAAATGAACAGCCCATATGAAGAATGCAAAATTCGAGGGAGAAAAAAAAAGGATCCTATGAACAAAAAAAGGGCAGAAAGGGACTCTTAACATCTCATCACATCTAATGACCACTTCCAAACAAGTATTACGGAAAGATGGCAGGCAAAGGCTCTTATAACCTACTTAATGTTCACTTGCCAACAAGCATTTTCTGTATTGCATTCTCAGGCCACAATTTATTAATCATATCATGCCAACCAACAGATAATGAATCAGAATAACAGCAAGTTCATCCATTGCTCTAATTGTGATAAAAACTTCTAGCTACCCATCTAGAACTAACACCAAGTCATTGAAAACACAAACTCCAAATCCCATTTCGAAGATCCACATAAAAAAAAATCATAAAAGTTGTAGGAGTAAAGAGAGAATATTCGCACATACCCATGAAACCAGATGGATAGGTTTTATCTGTCCTGACCTTGCCATCAACAAAGACATGTCTCTGCATCAAAATGGCAATTACTTCACGGTATGTGAGAGCATACTTTAGCCTGTTTCGCAGAATAAGAATGAGAGGCAAGCATTCTCTAGATTTATGGGGTCCAGAAGATGGCTTGGGTGCCTGCAAAAAACAAGAAATCATCGAGTCACACACAAATACACCGCCAGGGAAGAGGGCAGGGCAGGGTTAAAGATTAAAGATTTTGATAACATACAAATGCACCACCAAGTTTGTCAAGCATCCAATGTTTAGGGGCATTGAGCCTCTTCAAGTGCTTCTTCAATCCTCTAGCCTGTTATGCGTCATAAAACCAATCACAATCAGACCAAAAGCACATAGACCAGGACATTAGAAAACACAAAAAAGTTCAAATAGTGTTAACGCTAACCATTTTGCTTCGCTGAGCTCTGCCGCGGCTTCCGACACTCTGGTCTGGCTGGTTTAAAGCGACGCAAAAACCCTATAAATTCTATCGATGGGGTTGGGTCAGATTATAATTGTTATTGGGCCCATCATTACATGGACTCTTGTTTGAGCCCGACTATTTTCCTTCGGCAAGTGTCAAAACAACAAAACAGAAATTCCTCAAATCCCAAAACAGCAATACTAGAACATTTCTCCTTAATTGCCATATTAAAATTAATTTAAAATGAAAAGGATAAAATAAAAGTCATCATTAATTACCCTTCTTAAGCAAAATCATTGAATTTTCTAATGGAGGTAATATAGTTTTTTTATTAGAATTTGTTTCTCACTATCAAATTAATGAGGAACAAATATGTTTTTTATTTTATTTTATTAGCACATTAAAATAACTTAATTATTCTAAA